GCAAGGTCTCTGAGATAGACTGCTGTTCCGTGACAAATCTCTCTCTAGCTTTAATTTGTGTAATCAACTGATCTTTCTTTTTGAATTTGAAAATATATTTCCAATATTACTTTGGTTGTGTTCTCAAATTATCTTCAATTGCATTTAACCAAACCAATCTATCTGATATAATAGTAATTTTAACAAGTTTACGATAATATTAAAAACGCTATAATGATTATCAACTTAGACTTTTAGATTTCTTAGTAACGCATTTTTCTTTCTAATGTAATAGACAAGAGTTTTGGAAAAACAAAAGATAGGTATAAATTTTGTGTTTTACAAAGGGAATACCTAGGTTGATAACCTTCGACATAGTAACCGTGAGATTATTAGCAGCAGCATCAACAGTTTTCATTAAGAACGCAAGACCATTCCGAGTTTTCTAAGGTATGGTAAAGTAATAAATAGTCTCCTTTACAGTAATTGTGTCGAGGTATAATCGGAGTATATTGACAGTCAAGAATTAGTTTAACATTAAGGAAAAAGGCGAATGATAGTGGTCATGAGGGATCAGCGAGTGAGTAGAAAGAGAAACGCTGAGATCACTGATGTTTGTAAAGACAAGGTCGAGCAGAGCATTTTTAGGAACGCAGTTGTTGTGCTGATTTAGGCAAATAAAGCACGAGGTGGCGTAAAGAGAATTTCCTTCAATTTTATTACAGTAGTAAGAATTAGAATAAGGGATGCCGTTTAGGCAATCTTAAATGGGGACATTAAAATCTCCTAACATGACCACCCGATAGAGTTGCGACTTTAGATTTACTTTTAAAGAGTGTAGATAATTTTCAATTACATTTGTATCACAATCCGGAGCGAAGTAATGATTCCCGATAAGAAGACCATGGTTGTCTCTAACAGGAATTTCAACACACACACACTTTCAATAGTTTACAGTATCATACCTTCGTTTAACGCCACGGAAAGACTTTGAGACTGCAGTCAGCACTCCGCCTCCCCGTTTTCTTTATCGGAGCTTAAGTAATCTCTATCGACACGAAACACGAAATATGATTCAGGAAAATATTATAACTTAATATAGAGTCATTAAGTGAGGTTTCCGTAATGCAGTAAATTCCTAGCAAACAGACAGGTTAATAATTAAAACAAAGCAATAGAACAATATTATTTATAGATGAAACAATGCCATCTACATTAGGATATGCTTAAGAGGAAGCGCATGGTTATTAAAGATGTAAAAATCATTGCACGGAATATTCGCATCTGATGCGCATCAAGCAGATGGACAACCTTTGCATGCTGGGCCAACAGTAAAATATCTAAAATTACCAAATGGGACACGTACACCAACAGTCTCGATTAAGGAGGGACAAAATTTATATCCGCCATATACGTTAATAAGAAACAGGGCGTCTAGGTGACTCCTCCTAGTGCCAAGAGTGTGAAAATGTAGGTGTTCTAAGGCATTGGCTTAATGATAATAGGAATGAGGAACAAGAACGATTGAAACACAAGAATAAGAACTTGCTCTGTATGCGTTCAAGCTTACAAGTGTCAGCAGAAGTTAAAGAATTCCATGCAACTGAAGTTTATTCAAGCTTAGATCTTATTAGGCTAAAATATAACATATAAAGACTGTCCGAGGTTGAAAAAGAAAACGTTATGGCACGAATAAGACCCAATAACTTCAAAACTTGAGAAGATACAAAGTTAACATGGTGGTGAAAATGCAGTTTAGAATCAAGGATGATTCCCAAAACTTTAATAGTAACCGTACGATTAATGCGGGATCCAGAAAGCTGGTACTCAAAACAAAACGTGTTGGTGTTCCTAGTAAATGAAATAACATTAGTTTTACTAACATTACGCTTCCTGTGGTTGGATGCGCACCAGCCACATAAGGAGTCAATATCCTTTTGAGGTAAAGAACAATCGTGAGGAGACTTTAAGAGCCCGAAATTTTTTTATGTAATCCTTAAAAAGCAGGTAATTCGAAAATTTAATAACATTACACAAATCATTAATGAACACATTGAACATATCCGTATCCTCATTAATACCATACTTTATTGAGTTCGTCTTACGCGGATTGATGGCATGCGTAGCTTTAGAGGTACGTATCCACCGCGGTGCTCGAAGGTCTGCTGTACTTACACGATTGAGGACACGGAACATAATATTAACGTAGTCTGATAACGGAGATTGTTCAGTGTGTCCACAAAGTCCCTTTGGGGATTTGAAAAATTGAGGCGCGCAAACAAATTGAGCGAGCTACATGCGGTTTGGGGCAGATTACAGTGAAACTTTGGAAGTTTTTTACTGACCCCAGTAGAACTTCCAGATGATATTCGAGCTCTTGCCATATTCTGTGGAACATGTCCGCTGGAATAGCCGAGATCGCATTCTTGATAACGGTCTTCAGGTCATCAAGTCCGTTAACTGGTGTTCGGAACACATTGCTCTTGACATAATCCCACAGGAACTAATCCAGTGGTGTTAAGTCTGGTGAACGTGGACGCCAAGGCATTGGACCGCCTCTGCCGATCCATCTTCCTGGAAATGTCCTGTCTAGGTACGCGCGTACCTACAGACCCCAATGAGGTGGAACACCAACTTGTTTCAGAATGATATGTGGTTGTAAGTGCTCAATTTGCGGTACTGCGTACAGTTCCAGCATGTCCAGGAAGGTGTTCATGTTGATCGTCTGCTCTTGAAAAAAGAAGGGTCCAATAACCTGGTCATACATTACACCACACCACACGTTCTTTTTCGGACTATCGCGTATGTGCTCCCTAACAAAATGTGGATTTTCAATGCCCTATATGCGAACATTATGCCTGTGAACTTTAGTCGAGACAAGAAATGTTGCCTCGTCTGTGAACATGATTTTTTTCAAGAAGTCCACATCAAGGTCAATGCGGTCGAGCATTTCTTGTGCGAAGTGTTGACGTGCTATGCCATCACTAGGTTTTAACTATTGCACTAACTGAACCTTGTATGCATATAACCTCAACCTCTTATGTAGCACTTTGTGTACCGTTGAACGTGGGAGTAACAATTCACGCTAAGCTCGCCGTGTGGATCTTGTACGGCTTCGTACAAACGAATCACGGATTCTTTCCACACATTCATCGCTTACCCCCGGTCTGCCACTTCTCTTGCGATCATGGAGGCTAACAGTTTCTAGGAAACGTCGTTGCCAGTTTCTTATTGCAGTTTCACTCTGAGGTTGCTCATTGAACTGTGTGCGGTAATTTCGTTGAGTCTGGGTGACTGATGTTGTCTCAAAAAGCCATATCACACAACGCGAGCTTTCCTGCACAATCGCCATTTCATAAACAACTGGCTGAGAATCATAAAGATTGCCGCTTATACCATCTGTTGGCGGAAAAAAAGACTTCCAGAGTTTCGCTGTAATCTGCCGCAAACCGCATGTGGCTA